CTGATGTGGATGGCGGGGCTGAAGAAGACCGACCGGATGGCACTCGAGTACCTGAAAGACGCGCTGTGCGATCGCTTCCGACAAGCGATCCATAACCAGCTCCAGATGCCGCAAACGTTCGACGAATGGCGGAAGGCAGTAGAGCAACTGGACGACAATTACATGCGAGAGCAATCCATCATCCAGAGCCGGCGCAGTCATGCCACCCCCACCTCCCATCGACAGAACGTCTCGAGCCGGACTACCGCAACCGCGAACACACCGACGCCATCGACAGCTACGGCAAACCCGTCCACACGGACGGACGGGACGGGAACCATCTACGGAGGGCAGGGTCAGCCGATGGAGATAGACCGCACCAGAGTGGCGGTATGCTGGAATTGCGGGGGCAGGCGCACGCAGGCAGTCGAAGGATGCACGAACAGATGGCATCGCACACCACAGCCGTACCGTACCCAAACCACGGTACCCGCGACAAACCCCATCGCAAACCCACCCACGTTTGCACAGCGGTTCCGGGAACTGAGCATGGAGGAGAGGACACAGCTGATCCGCTCCTGGGCGACGGAACAGCCGGAGGAATTTCGGAGAGCGGGTTTTGGGCAAGGCCCGCCGTGACCGCATCACGGTCGGCGCCAAATTGGAACAGGTACGCGTGCCTCGAAGTGGAGGACGCAACGGACTCTGACTCAGATATGGCCACTTATATTTACGATCGAGCTACCTATGTACGTACCACAGATATGACGTTGTGTGCGACTCGGAACAAGGAATCGGACTTATTTAATATAAAACCCATTAAAAAACAAAAACAACCCCAAAAGAGGAAAGAACCTACAAAAACATCGAATACCAGCTCGGATGCGGCGAGCCTACTAAAAACGCCAACTGTAATAACTGTAGTAGAAGATGAACCCAAGAAGTTTACCTTAGTTAGAGGCCGAGGCACACACAGACAGATGGACTTACCCCTTATGATACACCTTCCGGAAGTAGGTAGAAGTATCGACGCGATAGCATTACTAGACACAGGCAGTACGGCCTCGTGCATGCATCGAGATTTCGCAATACGGCATACTATAGACTTACAGACATTAGATAACCCAATCGAGGTGTACAACGCAGACGGCACCGTGAACGCAGGAGGGCGGATCACGCAGCGGGCGGAAGTGGCAGTTCAGATAGGCGATCACCGAGAGCGCATGACGTTCTTGATCACGGACTTGGGGAAGTCCGACGTATTCCTTGGGCACGAATGGATCCGGCATCATAACCCTCGTATAGACTGGCAAACAAAAACTATCGACTTTTCCCGATGCCCGGATACCTGCGAACACGTCTTGGAAGAGGGGGAGAGAGTTTTCGCACTGCAGACCCAGATGTATCTGAAGCGACGAGCGGAGCACCTACGGAACGTGCAGTTACGCGCACGGAGTACAATCGCCACAGACATCGCGATCGAACAGAATCGAGATCGACCGGGCCGAACCTTCGAAGAACTCGTACCGGAGTTCTATCGAGATTACGCCGACGTTTTCTCCGAATCTACATTCGACCAGCTCCCAGAACATCGCCCCTACGATCACGTCATCGAACTTACGCCGGAAGCACAACCCTACAGCGGCAAACTGTACCCTATGAATCGCGACCAACAGGCGGCGCTGGACGAGTTCTTAGAGGAGAACCTACGCACTGGGCGCATCAGACCGTCCAAATCGCCCTGGGGCGCGCCATTCTTTTTCGTCAAAAAGAAGGATGGCAAGTTACGCCCTGTGCAAGACTACCGGCGCCTGAACGCGATGACTAAGAAAAACAAGTACCCCTTGCCGCTGATCTCCGAGCTGTTTGATCGGCTCAAAGGTGCCCGCTACTACACGAAAATGGACATTCGTTGGGGCTACAACAACATCCGGATGAGGCCAGGAGACGAGGAGAAGGCAGCGTTCCTCACCAACAGGGGGTTATTCGAACCCCTAGTCATGTTCTTTGGGTTATGCAACAGTCCGGCGACCTTCCAGCTGATGATGAACGATATATTTCGCGATCTGATCTTGCGCGGAAAAGTGATCGTTTATTTAGACGACATCTTGATCTTCACCGACACGCGGGAGGAGCACCGGCAAGTAGTGCGACAAGTGCTAGAGGTTCTACGAGAACACAAGCTTACATGCAAACCGGAGAAGTGCGAGTTTGAAACGCAGGAAACAGAGTACTTAGGTCACATCATTGGGGCGGGCATTGTGAAGATGGACCCGGCGAAGGTCGCCGGCGTCACGGAATGGCCCCGACCGGTCAACAAGAAGGATGTCCAGTCCTTTTTGGGATTTGCAAACTTCTACCGACGCTTTGTTGCCGGCTTCGCACGGATCGCAGCACCGCTTCATCGATTGACAGGACAGAGCGAGTGGACGTGGACCGACGAACATCAGACCGCGTTCGAGAGCCTAAAAAGGGCGATAACAGAAGCCCCAGTGCTCACAGTCCCGAACGAACACGACCCGTTCCGAGTCCAATGCGACGCATCCAACTTCGCAGTCGGGGCGGAGCTCGCGCAGAAGCAGGACGGACGCTGGCGCACGATCGCGTACCTATCGAAGGCACTCACACCGGCAGAGCGGAACTATCAGATCTGGGACAGGGAGCTGCTAGCAGTGGTGACGTCGTTGGACGAATGGAGACACTTCCTCGTCGGAGCTCGGCACAGATTCGAGATCCATTCGGATCATAAGAATCTGACCTATTTCAGACAGCCGCAACGGCTAAACCCTAGACAAGCCCGCTGGGTGATAGAATTAGAAAACTATGACTTTTCCCTAATACACCGCCCGGGCACGTCCATGGGAAAAGCGGACGCGCTGTCGCGAAGAGTCGATCATGACGTAGGCCAGGAGGAGAGTGAGAAGGTGGTGATGCTCAAGGAAGAGTGGTTCAGGGCGATAGTGGAAGGAACGGATAAGTTGATGGAAGGGATTCGGGAGGCAAGGGACCTGGTAGAGAACTCGGTCCGGAATCGCTTAGCAGCAGGGGACCGGGAGTATCGGAAGGCCGAGGACGGCCTGATCTGGAGAGGGGGGAGAGTGGTCATACCGCCAAACAAGGATCTGCGAGGACGGATCATTGCGTCGCATCACGACTCAATCGCAGCGGGACACCCGGGACGGGCCAAGACGCAAGAGCTTGTCCAACGGTCATACTGGTGGCCCTCCATACGACGAGACATACAGGCATATGTGAAAGGGTGTGCAATTTGCCAACGCGTCAAGATCGACCACCGACCGCGAGCAGCCCCCCTGCACCCGAACCCGATAGCGGCGTGGAATTGGGAGTTCATCTCGGTCGATCTAATCACGGATCTACCCGAGTGCCAGGGCCATAACGCGATCCTCATGGCGTGCTGCATGAAGTCAAAGGACTATATCCCAATCCCATGCTCGAAAAGTCTAACAGCAGAGGGCTATGCGAATCTACTAGTACGGCATGTTGTAACGACCCACGGCCTCCCCAGACGCATCACTTCCGACAGAGGACAGCAGTTTGAAGCGCAGCTGACGGCTGACCTCTACCGAAAGCTCGGTATCGAACGAAACCTCAGCACCGCGTATCATCCCCAAACGGACGGACAGACTGAGCGTCTGAACCAGGAGATAGAGAATTATCTTCGCATATTCGTGAACTACCGACAATCGGACTGGGTAGCCTGGCTACCCCTTGCTGCCTACTCATATCGTATACGGGAACACTCGGCGACCGGATTCTCTCCCTTCTACATGACGCACGGCAGACACCCATACACCGGCGTGGAACTCCCGGGACCGATCAAAACGGAGTCGGTTAGCCAGTTTGTAGAGCGGATGAAGGAGATCCAGGAGGAGGCGGCGGCAGCGATGAGGATTGCGCAAGAGGCGATGAAGAGACAGTACGACAAACGGAGGAGGGACGCACACGAGTATCGCGAGGGAGACTGGGTATACCTAGAGGCGTACAACATACGAACGGAACGGCCTACGAAAAAGTTCGAAGATCGACGATACGGCCCCTTCCGCGTACTCGAGAAGGTCGGACTAAGCGCCTACCGCTTAGATCTCCCCGCCAAGTGGAGGCGGATACACCCCGTCTTCAACGAGATCCTCTTATCCCCCGCGCACGCCCCGAGCTTTGCCAATCAAGTGCAGGACCTACCTATCCCGAACCTCGTCGCCCCCTTGATGGAACCCGAAGAAGTCCTCGATTCGAAACTGGCATCGGGTACTATACTGTACTACGTCAAGTGGAAACACCGCGCGAGAGCTGAGTCGACGTGGGAACCACGCTCCGAGGATCTCGCGCCGCTCATCGCGCAGTACCACAAGAGGTTCCCCGACGCCCCGCGCATGCCGTTCATTCGCATCCCGGGAAGGAACCCCGAGAACGAAGAGGAATCGCGAGGACGCGAAGGTTGAGAGGGGGGTGATGTTACGAGCACCACGCGCGTCAACACTCCGCGCGCGCCTCGCGCGCGCGCCGAGTGAGACATACGGAGCTCGCAGCCAACGGACGCGATCGTTATCATTCACGCAGACAATGCACGCATCTCATAGTACATACACGTAGCTAACACATGTCATCGATAGGAAAACAGTATAAGGAACCCGACTCGAAGCTGGATTCCCCAGCTTCGAGTTGGTACTTTTCCCGCTAGCCTAAACGCCCCATTCGGCGTCTAGACGACGACGCCGTATCAGAAACTCGCTAATTTACTACTTAGTCATTCAACTTACAGAAGGGGGTACAACTTCTGCAACAGAATTGTACTGTATCAAGGCCCAATAGCTAGATATCAAGGTATGAGGTATGTTATGTAGACCTAACATGCACATTCTATCTCTTTCACAACCAATTCCTACGGCTGCTGGCCGCTTGAATCTCCAACGTTAAGTTTTAACGCTCACTGGACTTGCACGAGGGTAGGTAGCCTGGAATAGCGTTTTGTATTCATATTCCGGGTACCCATTCGTAAACATGGCGAGATGGCCGAGCGGTCTAAGGCGCCAGACTAAGGCGGACACCTCACCGGTGTTCGGTTATCTGGTCCTCACGGGCGTGGGTTCGAATCCCACTCTCGTCATATGCTTTTTTTCCATTCCCAAAACGTTGCATCGCCAACGAAACTGTGGTTATCTCGAATCCGCTTATATGGCTTGCGATTTGGTCAATTTCGCCACCCTATGCTCCGCTCTGCTTTAGCATCAAGAAGGGAATGATATATAGCGGGCCTGGGTGCCTAACGGGTATTGAAGGAGTATCCGAAGATAGCGCTACACAATTCATCTGCTCGTAGTATCAGGATTAATGTTATGAACAATCCAAAAACACGATGGATGCACATGGGGCCGTGAGTTGGTCGTGAGCCGGAAAGATGCTGAAAGATGTCACAAGGGTTCTGTGAATACGCCAAGAATACCAGCACGAAGCTGAGAATATGATATAGTGGGTGACTTTCCGTAACGATTTAGACACAGGTTTAGCTGCGCTAAACATTTGCGCCACAAATTCCCGATGTCCGAGCGTGACATTTTCGAACTCCGAACGTCGCGCTCCACCCTCTCTAAACCTCCCTAAGCCCTGTCGAATAGAGAGGGGGGTACCCCCCCTCTCTAGACCTCGCTGATTGCCTCTATCCTCGCTTAAGTGAGAGAAGTGGGGCCAGCCGTGCACTGGTTGACCATTCCAGGAAGGCCATCAGCTCATCGCGACCTTATGCGAAGCTCTCGAACTCACCACGAACAACATCGAGCCCGGAGACTCCTGTGTCTAGAGCTGTATCTGATTCGGAGCTCGTAATGGGCTACGGATAAAGGCGCTAACCCGCATGGGCGGACTGTCACGCTCTCCCCACTTCTTTCCCAGGGGGCAAACTGTGTCTAAGTCGTTACGGAAAGTCACCCAGTACATGTCCTGAGATACACACACAAAGATTATAATTATCCTCGCCCCCGGCACCGAGAGGCTTCGCCGTTACCGGACGCAAGGGAACGAGAGTACAGTTGCAGCACGCCGGCGTGTCCATGGTGCCCAGGAACGACAGATTGGCAGCGCGAGAACACACGCGCGCGCGGCGTTCTGGAAGGCGAAGCCCCACCCCCTCGCCCGCGTCGACGGCCACGTCCACGATGGTCGCGGGAACGGGCACCCCAGAAGCAGGCATCGCGTCGCGCAATCAAGGTCACGCTGATCAGCCCTACGGGTGCGCATCCAGCCAATCCGCGACGCGCGCGACGAGGTCGTCCTTCTTCCCAGAGACGGGCTCGCTCTTGCTCTTGAGGAAGTTCTGCGAGAAGGGCGGGGCGAAATGAATGTGCGTGAGCAGCTGCGGGGCTTGAACGTGAAGCGGCGCGCGCGGGGAAGCGAATGAATGGGTTGCCATAGGTTTCTAGCCGATCCCACGGGCGCACGACCTCTGTCAGCCCGACGAGCTAGACTGGCAGACCGTCTCGCGCCCGCAAAGGCCGACAAATGAAGCGGGTGCCCACATCGCTCCCCCGCAGCAGCCGTCCACATGGACGAGGGGAAGTAACGTACCTTCAGGTCCTCCACGCGAAGCTACAAGAACGTAACATGTCAGCAAACCTGCACCCAAAGCCGCGAACCTCTTACCCCACAAGAGGCAGGGTCGCAGAGCGGAGAATACGACGTTGGGAAACCGACTCACCTTGCGGAGCTGGTCCGCTTCGTGGAGTGCTCGGACCTCATTCTCGTCGATGGCGGATTGCTCTTGCGTTTCCTGCAGAGAGCACGTAAAGCGGGCCGCTCGTCAGGCACGATCCGCCTTCTTGCCAGCGTGGTTACTCACCGCCTTACGTTTCTTGCTCACAGGGGGCGCCGCGACGACGTTGGCAGTCTCGTCTTCCAGGATCGCCTTCTTCCACTTGCGCATCAGCTCGCCTGCGCGCTGGCTCGAGTGAACATGTGTCGCAGGGGTGCCAGAGGTTCCATCGAGCGGGGTGGGTATCGCCGTAGTCGGCGTCGGCAAAGCGGGCGTGCCTGCTGCGTGAGACCTGGACTCTGAAGAAGGGTGAGCATCGTCGCTGCTGACCTTGTGCATCATCTCGTATTTCGGCACCGTCAGGTCCTCGAACGCCTCCGCATCGAACTCTTCGCGGAACGCGCTCGCCTCGAGCTGGGCATTGTGATACGCAAGCGCTGTATAGGGAAGGCGGCGAGTGGGAAATTTCGGGAAGATTGATTGAGTATGTCTGCAGATGCAGGAAAAAAGGGGGTACATAGGTCCGGGCTCACCTGGGTTCGGATACGAATCCGGGGGGTACGACCCGTTCTTGATATGGAGTTTATGGATCCATTGTTGCGCTATATCCGTGACGTCCTCCGATGCTGGATGCCGTTCGACCGTTCCATAAATTTTCAGAGTTCGGGCCATCACGATGGGGGGACGAAGGGGGACGAGAGAACGGTCCGAGGGCGCCAGAATATCGTTCAATGAAACAAATGTGAGCTCGTGACTGTGGCCAAGGGAGCAGCGCCTCTCACCGCGGAAGCCCTTGAGCGTAGGTGCGGCCCGAATGTCGTCCGCGAATGGGAACTGGATGAGGTGGAAGCCTGGCGGCTCGCGCCAGCCGCTCTCGTCTACCTTCTCAGCCTGCACGCCGTGGTGGTCAGTACCACTGTCACATGGCCACGGCCCCTCTCAGCGGGCCTGCCAAGTAGGGGCATATTGCGGACGCAGAAGCGAGGCGGGGGAGCACGCACCTGTGGAAGCACCGCGCAGAACGCTGGCGAGGCGTTGCGCCGGGTCAGGACGAGGACGATCCCAATTTTCCCCTTTTCGAGCATGGTCCGGAGGAGCGCGGTGAAGGTACGCTTGCTCCCGGAATACGACTGCGTGCATATGTGGTTAGCGTTTCGGTTTTCTGTCGTTTGCCAGGCACGTCCGCGCGGGCCCGGCGGTTACGGCATGGCGGGAGCACGCACCATCTCGTCTGGATAGATGAAGTACGAGTGTTTGACGTTGTCTTCGAAGGCTAGCTCACTGCGGTCTTTGAATCCGAGAAGCTTGATACCTGATGAGCGTGTGCGGCAGGCACGGCTGAGTGAGCAACGGCCTCTCTCGGTGGAGCGAGAATGGCGACCCACCTGGCTCCAGGCCGAGCGTCCGGAACGAGCGCACTTCATCCGCCGTGTAGAACACTCGACTGCCAAGTTGGACCTTGCGCGTTCCAACCGCTGATTCTTTGGCGTCCAAGAAACTCTCGCCAGCGACCTCACCCGACGGAGCACCGAGGTCCATCCCATACAAAATATCTGCCTTGTCTGCTTCTGCGTCACGCTCCTATCCGGGGTCAACAGTTTATGAGCCACCGGACCGTATTCTTCGAAGGGCATACAGACGACGAACCTGATCAACGTAAGCGGTGCGAGAGGTGACCGGCTCAACCCTGTCCCCAAGGTCCGCAAAGTACCTGTATGCGCCCTTCTTTTGCTCGGTAATGAGGCCATACCTAGGAATGTTTAGAATTCAGTCGTCGTCCCCGCGACCCTCGCACCGCAATAGCAATTCTACACACCCTTTCACACCGATCACAAACCCGGGCGCGAGGGTCAAGGGAACGCTGAACAGCGCCCTCTTCGGAACTTCATGGAAGCGCATCTGCGCCAACAGCTCGTCGACGCGACTAATGGAGATGGACTCCGGGAGAATGGACGCCGAGTCGTCGTCGGTGATGTCGTGCAAGTCCGTGGTGTTCGTTGGAAGGAGGACCGACTGCCAGACAGGGAAATACGGTTAATATTCGCCACATACCACGGTGAAGACGACGGAGCTTACAGAGTAGAACTTCGTAGGATCAAAAGCCTTGTCATCGGTGCTAATGAAGAACGGCTCCACGGACACGCCTGCTTGTATGAGATCCTGGCCAAGCAGCTCTTAATAACTCAAACATGCGCCACCCTACTAGATGACATACAATCAAGGTCGTGCGCGCGGACGTCATGAGTCGAGTGCCACTTGCACCAGGGTGAGGGTTGTCCTCGTCAGTGATTAAGAAGATACGCTTGGTGGCAGTCTTCGGGGCTCTACCAAAGGCAATGTGTTAATGTACGTGCGACACAGACCACTACCACATTTGATATACTGACCCATCACGGATGACCCAGTTGCAACTGGTGAATACATCACCAATCGGCACCCGCTTGTCCGTCATAGGCGGAAAGGTATCCTTGAGTGTGTCTGGGTTCTCTCGAGCATCTGCAACGCGTCAGCGCCATATACCTTAGCAGAGCAATGCTTGCTCACCATCCAAGAGCTGAATGAGCTCCATAACCTTCGGTGCGTCGATGGTGGCAATGGGCTGGTAGACATACGCGCCCTTCTTGATGTCTGCACCGGCTTGCCCGCTCTCGTTCCTCTTCGTCTATATCGCACAGTCGCAACGGGAATCAGGTACAATAACTTGCTGGCGCCACATCAAGGTCGACGCACCGTATTGAAGAGCATGATCCCGACGGCGTCATTCGGGCCGACGAGCACCTTCTTCTTCATGATCTGCATCGCCGCCTCGAGCGCAATCATGAGGTTGCACGTCTGCACGCCGTCTTCGTAGCGCTCGTCCTCGCGCATCTCGAGCATGGAGGGCGAGCAGTCGATGCAGAACAGGATCACGTCCCGCTTGCCTTCATAGAACTGCCCCGCGCAGATGGATTCGTGTGCATGTTAGCTATGTTAGCTATAAGGATACATGAAGTAGAGGAGAGAGCGTACAGAAGAGTCCTGCAACTCCTCATCTTCCTCGTCGTCTGCCTTGTTCCAATCGTCGTAAGGCGCCATCCCGAATTCAAAAAGCTTATTGTGTCTTGTGTTCTCGAAACGCGGCTGCAGATGGTGGCGCGTATCAGCGAAAGCGTAGCGGACAAGAAGTCTTGCGCAAATGTGAGTGTATGAGGCGGATGAGGGTCAAGTAGCCCCGGGTGGTGGTGGTCGAGTAGAGAGGGCGGTACCGGGCGGAGACGCCTGGCTATAACGCGGCAGGCTTGTGGCTAAGCCTTGGGCGGCAGATGTGGCTACGCGCGACGCGTCTTCCCACGTGATGTATACCTACCAGGCCCTTGTGGCGC